CATACCATACCATACCATACCATACCATACCATACCATACCATACCACTTTATTTATAAAGCATTTAAAACAGCTACAAGGCCAACCAAAGTGCAAAGTACTCTCACCCTGAAGAGGTCCAACTTACTGCATGAAACCAAACTCTCACACCGCTTGAATAGGGACTGAATTGCCCATAGCAATGGACCCCCAATCTTATACTCGCAGAAAACACACCACAGTGTTCCTCGAGGAACAAGGTTGAATGCCTTTTCCAAGTCCACAAAACACATGTAGACTGGATTGGCATATTCCCATGACCCCTCGAGGATCCACAGTTTGAGAACAACTGGACTAAAGTGTGAATGAGTGACAGGGATGTTCCATCACAGTGGTAAAGAAGATCTTACTGGTTTGAAGCACACACACACTGAATAATGACTAACGCACTGTATATTTTGCTTGTGTGTGTATCAACATTCAATTAGTTGTTTGCCAGTTATTAAACCTGGGGTCCTTTAGTAACAGGATGCCTTCTACAAGAATCCTTGTACTTCAGACAGGTGCAGAAATTTTCCACATCCATCTTAAGAGATGTGTCTCATCCTTTGCGCTATGAGTTCAGGCTCCTCCCATCATGATGTAAATATTTGATTCCCAGATGTAAAACTAAGCGGTATAAAGACAGTTTTGTTCCTGTTGCCATAAGCTTCCAAACTTCGACTTTGCATAGCATAGCACCGAGCCATTTTAAAAATAATTTTTGAATCATGTTATATATATATTTTATACTTATTGTGTGTCTATGTCAAGTTTCCTGTCTGGTAAGAAAGCTGACTCACCTCACTGTAACCAAATCTAACTAAGGGTATAAATAAAGTTGATTGATTGATTGATTCTCACCCCTCTTGATTACATTTACTGACTACATCTTGGCTTCTAGGTGACGGGGAAGCTGCTTCAGACATCCCTGACAAAAGAGGGTGAAACTGTGCGACTGGACCAACGTAACGTGCCTTTCCAAGTGGACACGTCCAGCGACAGTCCCTTCCTCATCATACCTTTGACCTTCTACCACATCATCGATGAAAACAGCCCCCTCAGAGCCTGGGCAGCAAAGGGTAGGTCACAGCTCTGATGATGTGTTTCAAACTGGAAAAATGAACCAACAAAGCAATAACTACTTAAAAAATTATAAAGTTGTCTTTTTACTTAGAGTTTTTAAAGTTTTTCTGGCTAACATACAAAGTGGTGTAGGTACTGTATGTTAATGTGTGTGTCTGTAGGTGTGTTGGTATTTACAGTCATGTGCTGCGTTCTTGGCCGTGTCTTGCGCTCCACAGTTGGGCCTGTTTGGCACTGGAGGAGAGGGTTTTTCTGGCTGGAATGTGTGTGAGAGAGATTGTTCGAGACACCCCTCATTAGAGGACAATACTGTACAGTCTGAGGTGCTGACACGAAGCCTGCGCAGATCCACTTACAGCAGCTCCCACCTCTCATCACTGAGGGCCACATGAGTACTGACCTGCTCATAAACAAAACACATTTACTGCTGGACAAATGTGTACTTTTAGGTTCTTGGCCACATATTTTCCCATTTTTACATATTTTCACATCATGCTAAAGCATTTTCTTTCCTTTTCAGAAATGTAATAAAAAAATAGCAGTTTTACCTTTATTTCCAGTTATACTTTAGCTATAAGATATTAATCTAATAATATATTTTTTTATACCTTTCTTCATGCACATTTCATTTGCAGTCATTTCATCTCAGTTTTAAAGAATCTTTTAAAGTGGTTTTGAATAATAGGTCCCTGGACTTTTTGAAGATCTTCCAACAATTTTTTATTTTTTTTTATCTTTGCCGTTGTTACGTTTTTAGACACGATACCTGAATGTTTAAAAATAAACAAATAATTTTTGTCTTTTTCCTTTGAAGCTATCTGGTTTTGACGTTTGAATCCTTCAGGAAAAAAACATGGCTAGATTTACCCAGCATTGTGTTCATGTATACAGTAAGAGACAGTTTAATAAAGAACCATTTTTTAAACTGCATCTTTATACACTACATTACCAGCGGCCTGCCACAAAGACAATTTGTTCCCAGTTTATTCAGTTCAATCTTTCACAAATACAAAAGATAATGTATTTTTCATCCACAAATTAATTCATTCCTTCAGAACTGTTTGCTAAAACGTTGTCAGTAGCTGAAGTATGATGCATCTTTCAGTTCTTGTCAGGTTTTGGCAGACTTTTTTTTTCCTGTTTCTTAAACACGTGCTTCCTGCTCATCTGCTGTGGATCGTTTTATAGGCCTGCAACTTTTTAACCTCCATATGCTCAAAATAATGCTTCTGCTCTGCAATCATGCATAAGATAAAACGACGATACGTGAACAAAGTACTTGAGTGTGAACCTGAATGACAACCTCAGCTGGAGCAACAACACCACCAGCCTGATCAAGAAAGCTCATCTCAGACGGCTGAGACGAGCTGGAAGCTCAGTCCTCACCTCCTTCTACAGGTGTGCAGTGGAGAGCATCCTGTGCTCGAGCATCAACGTGTGGCATGGAGGCTGCACATCTGCAGAAAGAAAAGCTTTGCAGAGAGTGGTGAAGGTTGCACAGAAGTATGTTTGAGTCAGTCTACCACCATCACAGACATTTACACCTCCAGATGCGTCATGAAGGACCCCACTCACCCAGCACACACACATTTTGCCCTGTTCCACTCAGGAAGGAGGTTGAGAAGCATTAAGTGTAGAACCATTAGACTGAGGAACAGCTTCTACCCTGAAGCTGTTAGACTCATGAATCTCTAACCAGAATAATCACTGTGGGAAAAAAATCACTGTAATGCCACTTTGATTGGTGATATGTGCTGCTGATTATTTCATGCTGCTGATTATTTCATGCTGCTGTATTCATTCATACTCATTTACTCACAGTCTCAAATTTGTGCTGCTGTTGTTCGGAGTAATGTTTTGCACTATTAGTGTTTAGCGTATTTCTTAGCTTATATCTTAGTTCTTTATTTATGTTTCTTTTTACAATTTATATTTTAGCTGTTGCTGGATGTAATTGGGATCCTGTGTACACAATTTTGTTCCACCTCATGTACCACATGCGATGTGAATGAAAATAAAACCTACTTGACTTGCCTTGAAATGCTTGTCAGTTACATGCTGCACATTTGAGACACACACCACAGCTTTTCCCCAAGTAACAAATAATTCTGACTGAACGTGATTCTAAAGTTTGGCGCATTGAAGTTCTCTGCAAATATTCTGCAAGCTGAGCTACAGCAGGGAACACCTGCTGAATGTTTTTGACTTGTGGTTTGTCTATGCGTCATGATGTCTTAAAGCCACAACACTGTAGAGATGGGTGTTAAAACCCACCAAATTACAATAAAAACAGCTTCTCAGTGAGTTTGTGCTGTGAATACATTTACCAAAGATTCATTCTGACAGTCTATTTCCAACGCAGCAATAATAAAACAACTATGATTGATGACAAAAGAGCTATTATAAAATAGTAGCTTGGCTTGCAAAGGTCTCTCTTGTAAATGAGTCCTTGAGGCTCAGTGAGAATAACCTGTATAAATAAAGGTTGAATAAATAAAATTAAAAAATCAGCTGGTTTTACGGTGGGCAGCACGGTGGTGCAGTTGGTAGGGCTGTTGCCTCTCAGCGAGCAGGTTGCCCCAATTCAAATCCCGCCCGTGGGCCTTTCTGGGTGGAGTTTGCATGTTCTCTCCATGCATGCGTGGGTTTTCTCCGGGTACTCCAGTTTCCTCCCACAGATTAAAACATGCATGCTAGTCTGTTTGGTAACTCTAAATTGTCCCTAGATGTGAGTGAGAGAGTGAATGGTTGTTTGTCTCGTTTGTCTCTATACGTCCCTGTGATGGACTGGAGATCTGTCCAGGATGTCCCCCGCCTCTCGCACAGTGACTGCTGGATATGGGCACCAGTGATCCCCACAACCCGAACAGGAAGAATCTGGTCAAGATAATGGATGTATGGACAATAGAGAATAAAGCTCGATACCCTGCCTTTTTTCTCCTTTAAAATATCTTCATGAATGTGACCAAATAAACTTTTGTGGGTGAGGTAGGCAAACAAAGAACCTAGTGGTGAGGGGAGTGAGCTTATGTTGCATGTGAATCCAGCTTGTACGAGTTTATTTTAATGCAGTTTAATGCTTGAAACTCTACACTATCCAGTTTCTTGAACTGAGAAAGCCCCCATGATGGGAAACAAAATGTCCAACTACATAATAGAAGTCCAGTCGTTTTGTTCTTTAAAAAAATGGGGAGGTGGGGGGCAGGAGTTCACATATTCTCCCCATTCATGCATGAGGTTTTTTTTTTTTCCACAATTGGCTATTCTGGTTCCATTCCACAACCAAAAACACGTCTGTCGATAATTCTAAGTTGTCACTAGGTGTGAGTGAAAGTGTGAACAGTTGGCTGTCTCTCTTGTATCCATGTTGAATGGCTTCTCATCCAATGACCTCTGGAGACAGACACAAGCTCCATCGTGACCCCATGTGGAAATGTGAGTAAAGAAAAAGAATGTTGATCTTATAGGATTCCCTATAAGCTCAGTTAACGTAGATGTGCCACCCACTACAAGCCAGAAAACAGAATCCCTAAACCATGTTTGTATCACAAAGTTTACAAATGGTTGTGAGAGCTGATGTTTTTGCCTTGGTGGGAGTGATATTTGGTCTGGGTGAGGGTAAGAGCTGTTTAGACAGATGACAGATTCTGCAGCGTGAGCGAGGCCTGTTGATGCAGGTGTCGGCTTGCTTCACTGCATTGTGTCTGCTGGTGTGTCCTCTGGGGATTGTGTGGGGAAATGGCAGGCAAATATATATTTTCCATTTTCAGTGTGCTGTAAAAATATATTCTGCACATATGTATGATGTGTGTGACATTTAGAAGTGTCTCCTACGTGATTATCATTCAGTCCAGTGTTTTGGGAGTCAGTATGTTAGAGGGGAGTTGTCGCATTTTGAAAAAAATCACAATGTATGTGGTGTAAATGTGGCTGCATGTGTGAGCCTTTCTTTATATGCATTGACAACTGTCTTAGTGAATTAATCTTTGTCTTTAGCTTAGACTTTTTTTTTTAATCAACTTGAAGCTGACTAGTTAATGAAGCAAGATGAATAATGATCTTTGTTTTTTACCAGAGAAGCTAACCCTTAGCAAAAAGTAGTTCATTTAAGTGTACTACAAATATACTTATTTTACACTAAAAATGATGAAGTGTATTTGAAGTTTACTTTTTATAAACTTTATTTGATATACTTAAAAATAGTATAAAAAAGTCCCAATTTAGTCCAAACAAGTATTAAATCAGTATACTTCTAGTACACTACAAGTATGGTGTGTAGTATACTTGATATACTTATACTTAACTTAAAGTATACTTGCAAAAATAAACTTCAAATGTACTAGTTTTTGTTAAGGAAGAGCTAGTCTAGCAAGACAAACGTGCACTGCTGCCATCTTAAAATAACACCAATCTCAAAATATTTTATAGAGTTTCATGCAAATGCTGTTTTAATAGCGTTTATAATATCACACGCAATTTTGCACTAAATGATTACCGTAATTATATAGAGTACTTTGGATATTATCAAAAGGTAGCGTTGGCTAGCTGTAGCTCTTTTGGAGCAGTCTGGGGCTTTCCTTGCTGGTACATCATGATATAATTGCCAGAGTAGCTATGTAATGTGACATTAGTGTTAAGGTTTATAAAACAACAGTTGCATGACATGCTTTGCAACGTCTGAGATTGGAGTTATTTTTAAACAGCAGCAATTCACTTTGGCCCTGGACCTGCTCGAGCTAGCTCTTAGCTTGTCAGTATGGTTAGAATTATATTTTATATTTCCAAACTGAAGCCGTCTGAAGAATTATCAACAAGATAAAATATTATGCCCTATCCACACAACTTTGGATATTTAGAAAAAAGTTTCTGCTGGGTTCACACGTCTTCTCCACACACAAAATGAGTTTTTGATTATATATTTTTTTTACAATGGATTCCAAAATGAGCATTTTTAAAAACTCAATATTTGGTTTGTCTGTATTGACTTGAAATATGGAGCTTTTTGAAAACAGTGACGTAGCAGCCTGTATTGTCCATGCCCATAATCATTTTTGTGTCCTAGAAACCACAACAACAATGAAGCCATTTTATAAAAAAATTTTTTAGTCTTTTTCTTGCTTCATTCTGAACTTTCGCTGTCAAACTTTGTGTGCTGAAATGCTTAATAACTGTGAGAAAATTAATAGTGTCAAAAGTTACTTTTGAGAGACTATTTAGTAAAATCTTTGTATTTTTTGTGTTTATGTTGTTTGTGTGGACATTCTTTCCACCCATTGGTGTATTTTCAGTATTGCAGCTATTGTTAGAAATAAATAATTTTTATAAATCAACAAAACAAAACACTGTTTAAAAGAATCTAGAGTAGTGGAGACAGAGCCATAATTGCATAACCTTTATAAAAGTGTTACTTTAAAAGATCTTTGCAAGGAAGCCTCCCTTGCAAAAAGAGATCTCTGATGTCAGTCAGATTTGCCTGGTTAGATAAATATTAATAAATTAATTATCTAATTGCTCAAATTACAGCTAAAATATTGTTTTTAGCAATGAATTTTAATGTTTGATATTTATCTTGATGGATTCTATATAGTTCATTGAAACTGATCTAAAAGAATTGATGTGAAATTTAATTTGTGCAAAAAGGCAGATATAAAATTGTGTCTTTCTTAAGAAAAAGTGTAAAAAAAAATTAATGGACATTAAAACACATTAGAAATCATGTTTTCATATATTTTTTTGTTCATCCTTCAGGTGGTGGCTGGACAGACCCTGAATTGGCGAACTTTGAGCTTCTGGTGATCATGAGTGCCACGGTTGAACCGACGTCAGCCACCTGCCAGGTTCGGACATCCTATCTTCCGGAGGAGATCCTCTGGGGATACGAGTTCCCCCCTGTTGTCTCCCTGTCCCCCTCAGGAAAATACGTGGCTGACTTTGCATTCTTTGACAAAGTGGCAAAAACCAAAACTCCACCCTTCTTAAAAGAGGACCTCTCCCCAAACGACAAACCACAGGTGCAATACCTCAAAGGCAAAGACGATGGAACGAACCAGGAGAAGTTACATCTGAAAGAGAACTGCAGGGGGGAGGGTAAAGGACGAGAAAGGGGCCGCAAAAGAGACAGCAGTCCCCTGAGTGTACGAATTAGTAATGTGTGAAATATGTTCCTAAGAGAGGATGAGGTTGTAGGAAGATAAAACAGGACGAAGATAAAAAAAATAAGCTGCTAAACATGAAACCACACTGACATTTGCCCCACACATCAACACAACTCTTCTGCCTACACACGAGTTAAATGTGGAGCAAAATCATCCAGAGGAAACCACAAGAAGTAAACACTGAGAACACCTAAGCAGAGCACGTTAGAAACTAGTACAAGCGTAGAGCAAGATTTCAATACACCTAAAGAAAAAAGTACATAAAATATAGAGTTGCTGAAATTGCCACTTTTTGTCACTAACACTAGAAAAAATTGTCTTTCTAGAAGAAACACTAAAAATTTCTAAAGGTTCAGCATGCAAACTACTGAGTCAGAGTGTTTAATCAATGCTCAATGTGTGAGCTTTAGAGACATCTTGTTGAAAAGATGCAGACACTCTCCCTTGCTTTCATCTCCACGGTGTAAAGATTATGGTACAAGCATCAACCGTATAAGAAGAAACTGGATCTTGTGTCTCTACTTCTTTTTTGTTGTTGAGAGCTGAAGCAATGAGAACCCATTTTATAAGTACTGCCATGTTGTATTTTTGGATTTAGTGTCTGTGAAAGTAATGTGGGGCTTTAAGTTCTGCCTAATTCTCCGCACACTATCATGATGTCACATGACCAGGGCTTAATTTGAGCCAGAAACTGCTGGAACAGGATCCGGGAACTCTCTTATTTTGACAGGGTGAGTTCCAGTAACTGTTTATTTTTTAATTTAGCCTTTATTTATCCAGGTAGTCTCATTGAGCCACGAGAACTCATTTTCAAGAGAGACCTTTTTAGGGAGCAGATGGTGGGGGGTAAGGGCCTTGCTCAGGGGACAGAGTGGGGCGACTGAGGGTGGAGGGAGGTGTGGGTGTTTCACCTTTTCCACCCACATTTTGATGTTGATGATACCGGGAGGTGAACCTGCAACTTTCTGATCACAAGCCCATATTCTAACCTCTGTGCCACCACTCCCCCCTGTTTGCTTGGATCTAGTAACTCTCAGGCTTACTAATAATAAAGTTCTGAACAAATATGACTGCCTTGAATTAATAAACTTATTGGATATGTAAACCGAAAATAATTACATATAAACACTCATTTTAAACACAGCCACCTACGAGCTTCTTAATATCACATACTGCCTCTTCAAGTAAGCATTTCTGCTTCTACCCGTAAAAGAAATCTCCGTCCATGAAAGAGTGGTGGGGGTGAGTGCTGAGCTAACCAGGCAGTCGTAAGCGGGCAGGAGCCCAGACAGAGGAGGCGCCTGGAGGTTTCACATGTGGAGTTGGACAACAACAAGCAGGGACAGTGAATTCAGCGGAGAAGAGTCGGGCTCGGAACCGTCAAGTAAGGGGGGGGGGGGGGTAGGATGCTTGACAGAAGCAGTTTACAATCGTAGGTAAACGTAGATGTTTAACAACTCATTCAATTACACCAAAATGCAGGAAATCGCATCTACTTTATTCAAAATCTTCTGGGGGATGACCCACAGACCCCTCCGCCCCATCCTCCCTGCCAGCCCGCACACCATTTACGTTCCAGCATTGATCAGTTTACAAATTAAGCCCTGCACATGAACTTTCCTTTAATCATAAAATAACTCAGAACTAAATGTATGAAACAATGAATATCTGCACGTACAGCACCAGCATAAGAACTCAACCAAAGCAAGCACATGTATTTAAACAATGCATTGTATATGCATTTATTTATTTTTATTTTACTAGCAGCAATATTCTGTTTGTCACACGGCTTGACTAGGATGGAAGTCTACTGGGAAAAGTGGTTCCATTATGGCTTCAACTTCTGGGATTTTCAGAAGTCTATCAATATGTTCAGTTTTCATACAACAGCAGTTGATTTTTTTTTATTTATTTTTTTTACCAAGAACATTGTTTTGTTTGTTTATATGGAGAGGTGAGACTTACTACAAGAACCAGTCATCAGAGAAGCTTGGGCCCATTCTGGCTTCAACTTCTGGATTCCTGCTGGATGTCTAGAGTTTTCTTATACGGTTGATGGGTACAACAAAAGTGCTTGCTCTACTGCCATTTTTAAAATAGTCTCCTTTAGGCTACTTTATGTTGCATTGTGATGCAGTTTTGTACTGGAAAAGAACACAACCATCCACATGCACACACACACACCAGTGAACTTAACATGCATGTTTTTGGACTGTTGGAAGAAACCAGAGTGCCTTCACATGCATGAGGAGAACATACAGACTCCATGAAGAAAAGCAGAGTTTTGAACTGAGGATCTCCTTTCTGTGAGGCAACAGCCTTAACCACTGCTCCACCATGCTGCCTATAGTATTTTTAACAAAGCTCCCTATACACTGGAACTTTAATTAATACCTGTAAGGGGTGGTGGGAGAACTGGAACATGATATTTTTGATGTAAAAGTTCAAAGGAATATATTATATTTTAGTAATTTCTAATAAAATTAACAAGAAAAAGATACAGTTTGATGTATACGTCTCGTTTGTTGGACTAGACAGGGTCAATACTTTTATAAAAACACTAACGTCAGTCAAAGTGGCATTTCATTAAGAGGAAACACCTGAACTAACCTTGATGCTCAGTGAGGATTAGCAAGATTTGTTGACGTCTTTGGGAACTATTTTACAGTTTATGTACATTTTGCTTTCATGTACAGTGTATGTAAATATATTTTATTTTATTCTGTGATTTTTTATGCATTCCTAAGAAATTAATTTGAAGACAACCAGACATTTTTGACTATTGGAGACTTTTGTGGAAACTCTGCACTTTGTGGTTTTGAATTAAAATAACACTCCATGGATGAGAAGCAAAATGTCTTGAAAAATAAAGTCTGGTTGATTTTGATTTAAATTTTTGGGATCACCATGTCTGGGATGGCTAAAAATCTAAAACAGCATTTTGTGCTCTTTTGTCCAGATCTCTGTGTTAAAGATGTGTTGTTTTAACTGCTGTCAGTACACAAAGGTACGTCTGTAACGAATAGCTGTCTTTTAACTTCTGTCATTTTGTCATAAAGTGCAGTTTGTGTCAAAATTAAATTATTTTAACTGAACATAGCCACATAAAACAGCATAAATTAAGTATATCAGACATACACAAATATGGAACTTGTTTATCACATGATTGCAAAATTTAGTTGAAAAATGCAGAAGGTGATTTTATTTATTTATTTCAATGCACTTTTTAGAAAATATTACATTTTATATGAATATAGGCAAATTGTTTTTGTCATTGAAGTTTTTGACTCTAGAAAAACATCAGTAGGGTTTTGGATCCACTGCCTTAAAAACATCCTAAAGTTGAAAGTTTTGTTTCACAATTCAAAGTATGTTCTCCTCATAATGTTATGAAATAAAGTGTCTTAAATCAGCTTAATAATCTTTAACTTAAAGTCAGGTTTTGTTTGTTTATATGATACAGTATATGACTCGGTCTAAACACTGGAAACTCACCACTTGAACTGCTAATGTAACATTTAAGTGCCTATTTTAATAAATGTCTTATTTGCAAAATCAGGTCTCCGTTCTTTATCTATGACATCAAGTATAGTGGATTATTATAAGTGATTTGTCTGAGGCGTTTCTCATAAAATCTTAAGCTAGGTGTGTGGATTTTCAAGCTTCCTGTACTGCAGTCGTTAGATCCTCCTTTTGGATGTTGAACAAATGTTTGCTGACATCCACTTTAAACCCAAAACAGAAATGAATAGCAGCAATTGGAAGAGAAATTTATGAGTCAAAACATGTTGCTGCTACCAATTAAATAATTTACTGAGATCCTTAGATTCACTCTGCCCAAGCCGGTGGAGTGCCAAGAAAACAATGACTTTATCTACAGGAAGTATAAGCTGTAATAATGTTTCTGGCATTCACATCCACCTGCTCTCCCTAGTTTCATTCTGAGAGCTTTCATTTTTGTCATGAGGTTTTGTGTCTTCACCCAGTCATGTCACAATGGATTGCCTTTTTGCTACAGAGCGCCCTGCTGACCAACTCAGACTTTAGTATGGTATGGTATAAAGTTTATTCATTTTTAAAAAGTACAAAACAATTCCATAACAATATACAAAAGATACAAAAGATTTAAAATGAAAGGCAGCAGAAAGAAGAAAAAATCTTATTATATCTGCCCCTTTTTTCAAACAATTATTTCAATCATAATAATTTTCAAGTAACAGAACAAAATGAATAACTCTTTAATTTTTCTAATTCTAATACAAAACACACACTAAGCTACTTCATATATATTTTTTTTTAACAATTCAGCTTTGATCTTTTTCTTAAATGTACACATTGACTTGGCATTTTTCACATCACTCTCTAGAACATTCCACAATCCAACTCCTTGGATTGAGGTAGACCTTCCCTTCAGACTAGTTCTGAATTGTGGTTTGACAAATATCTCTATCCCCTTTAGATTATAACAACTTTGCCTTTTAACAAAATTTCTTAGGATATTTAATGGTAATGTGTTATTTTGAGCCCTATACATAACCGATAAAATACTATAATCTACCAAATCATGGAACTTCAATAACTTCAGTTGATAAAATAATGTGCTTGATGGGTGACAGTAATGCTTTCTGGTGATAATTCTTACAGCTCTTTTCTGTAAAATAAAAATAGGCTTTGTAAATGTTTTACATGCTTTCCCCAAAACATCAATGCAATAGATTAAATGTGGAACAATGATTGTGTTATACAACATGTACAGAACTTTATCATTTAATAATTCCCTGACTTTGTATAGTACTGCAATAGATTTAGATATTTTTATTCTTACAGAATTTAAGTGATTTTTCCATGTTAGCTGTTCATCAATGATTACACCCAAAAATTTCATCTCATTAACTCTACAAATCTCAACACCATCAATTTTAAATGGATCGTCAACAGTTTTCTTTTTGTTACTAAATATCATGTATTTAGTTTTATCTAAATTTAATGATAATTTATTAATTTTAAACCAAGTTTGTATTTTATCAAATTCTGTCTTCATCAGTTCCAACATCCGTTATACATCTTTACCCAAACAAAAAAATATGGTGTCATCTGCAAAAAGGACACATTTGAGGAGTCCTGATACATTCACTAAGTCATTCACATATAAAATAAATAACTTTGGTCCAAGTACAGAGCCTTGAG